GTTTGCTGCCCGGGAGCCCCTTGCGCTGCTGTGCCTGCAGCTCGGCAGGGCCACTGCTTCAGCTCCAGACGTCCCCTTGTCTGCTTCAAGCACCTCAGTAACAAACAAACGCGGCACAAGTTTTCCTTGCCTTTTCCTTGCCCTACCCGTGTTTCTTGAGACACGTTACCGCTTCAGCTGGGCTCGGACATTCAGCTAATTCCTCCTCACTTTCCCAATTCACTGGGAAAACCACCTGGGCCAAGTTTCTTGTGACTGCCCCCCACGGCTGTGTGCAGAGGCCAGTCAGGCTCTCAGCCTGTATCTTCCTCATTTTCCAGAAAAGTATTTTTCACTGGGTCCTGTAGGCTGCACCAAATGTTTTGCCCCAGGAGGTAGCTGCTGGTCCGCTGTGATCCCAGTAAGGAAAGTATTCAGATTCTGCAACGTATCATTTGAAATATCATTTCTTAGAGCTGACGCTATAAAGAAAGAGAGAATAGCATGGCTGATCTTACCCCCCCCACCCCCAGATGCTGGGAATCCCGAGTTGTGCAGCATGGAACAGGCCTCGATCAGCATGCAGCATATTACAATGCGCGTGTTCTAGAGCCTGCTCTGTCACACTGAGCTGGCTGAGGTTATCCTGTGGACATGGGATTTGTGCCGCACACCACAGGCCTGAAGGCCAAGCTGTAGGCGTAGCGCAGCGCAGTCCTGTCCTGTGCCTCCTCGGGTTAACTGCTCCACAGACCACTAATTCCTTGATGTGCAATGGTCCCCCCATCAGGATTGCTACAGCAGAGAGTGAACAACCCTCCTTCCCTTCCTCACTCTGTCCCCCCTTGCATCCCCCTCGCATCCCCCTCACTCCTCATTCATTCCTTTCCCCCATTCTCACCCCCTCTTTCTGTGCCCTCTGGCAAATCCCCTTGCAGGGACCTAGAAGTTAATCCAAATGTATCTGCTTTAGATACCTACATTTACACATAATATGCTTGAACTGGATCCTACTGTCGTGCTAAGAGGAAGAGGCTCTTCCTCTTATTTAAACTAGGAGTGAGATTTAGTTGTTGAAACGTGAGTGTCTAGTATCATTTTAGATGTCCTGACATTTCCAAGATAGACACATGATGCCAATATGTATAGCACGGGGCCTATGGGAGACAGCTAGACTGGATTTCTTCAGCTTTGCAAGGATGGCTCACCTGTGCTAGGGCTCCTTGCTGCAAATGGCTCTCCTGTCCAATGTTTCGACAACTGAGTTAAGGCTCTATTCAGTATTGGAAAAGTTCAGACCACTGACCTGTATGCAGACCTGGTGGTTTTAGGTGCCTAATTGACAGATCAGTCATAAACCAAGCACTTCTTATCATTCTCTCCCTCACATTCCACACAACCTCATTTGCTCATCAATTCCTCCAACATCGTCCCGCCTCCCACTTCCCTGGATGTGCATCCATGCATCCCAACTAGAAATTCATTCATCCATTCCCCTCTCCACTTCCCCATACGGTCACTTTTTGCTGCCATTCACTCCTACTGCCACTAAACACAGCCCTCTCCAACTCTCCAACTACACCACTCTCCTCACACGAATCCATGCATTTCTCCACCCACCCTCCCAGACCATGCTTCGCCTGCTCTGTCTGTCCACCCTCCGCCCATTTCTTCCTCTGTCAACATTGGTATCGGTGTCCTCCTTGTGCAATTATCACTGCTTAGGCCCAAACTCATGCTGTGCTTTGTGTCTCAGGCCGTGACCCATCATTGTTGCCACCTTCCCTGTGCTCTAATCTGAATTAAGCACCACCAACCCACTGAACGAAGAGACGTTTTTGACACCTGCAATTCCCATGCGAGGCCTGTCTCCTACTAACCTGCTACAAGACTGGTGAGAGAGGGGCAAAAAGGATCCTGACATGGGGTGTGAGGAAGCAAAGAGTCATCTTGGCCCATGGATGTGGGGAGGAACTCCATATCTTGGAGGAAGGGAAGATGGAGCTGCCCTGTTTTTTTTTCACGAGATCTTCATAGCTCACTTTATGCTCTTTCCACACAGAAGTTGTCTTCAGCCAAAGAGTCAAGATGAGGAAAAGTGGCATGCTGAGTAAACAGTATATACACAGGGGTGAGTTGGGGCCAGAAGTGTAGCATCCGTGAGCAGTGGGGAAGAGTTTAGCTGGGAGACTAATGTGGGAAGGAACTGATTTCTTGGGTGATTGACAGAGAATCACATCTCACCATGTTCTGGGAACTCAGGGGCATGACCTGTCGTCAGCCTTCACTTCTTCTAGTTGGCATGGCAAAAGAGGTTCATCTCACCCGTGGGGCTGAAGACTTTTCAGGGAAACCATCACAAAGTGGGAGCATGATGCAGAAGAGATGTCTACTGCTGTGGGATGGGGGGCAACATTCCTCAGTGGTATGATACTGCATCACCTCTACTGTGGTGCTAAAACGTACCCTACTGTGTTGTGATACCTAGGTACATCACTTGTTTGGTGCCTTGCATCATCCCCTCCAGGTGAACTATACCATCGTCTGTACACCATCCCCTTCCAAGACATCACAGCAACCACTGTGAAGGTCTTATACCTCTCTTTGCTATGCGTCACTATCCCTACTAGAGTGTTACACCATTCTTGACTAAGACACTAGTCCAACACATTTTACCATCAGGTTTGATGCACCACTGATGCCAAACCTTGGCCTAAACTGAGATGCTCTTCATCTCAAACCAAGGGAAAAGGTATGGAGAAAGTTGCCTTTCCATGGGCTGCTCTCATAGCAGGCAGGGAGGGCAACAAAACCATCTTCCAACCAAATTTGAATCTACACATCCTTGGCTTCGGATAAACTGTACACTACAAGTATGACAGGCAAAAAAAGGGAGGTCAGCAAGAAATATCTCTGATGCTGACAATGAAAAGGAGATGAGGCAACGTCCTGTGACTCTATCTTTGATGCCATGCTGAGTGTCCTTGGTATGGTCCCTCTTCCCTTACGGTAGTCCAAAATGAGTAGTGTATCTGCTTAAGCTGAAAATCAAACTCGACTCTTTGGAGCATTACTCTCAAAGCAGATGGTGGGACCTGCTCTTATCTCTGAGATACGGTCTGAAGGTTTGAGGATCTGCAGAGCAACTCCTGCCTTCTGCGTGAAGATCTATTGTGAGACTGTCTCACGCTACGTGCTGAGGGACAGACAGACTCCTCTTAATGCCGTGGTAGGCCTGAACTAAGATAAAGCATGATGCAGTTAGATGATGTGAGGGCACGGCTGCCATGCACATTAGACAGAAAAGGGCTTAGAGTGATGAGGAGTTGCGATCTAAGGGAAGCACGTTGGCAGCCTCAGGGGCCTTTCCTTACTATGTGTCAACTTCTGCAACTGGCATTTCTGTGGCAGGTTTGGACACACAACTGTTTCCCACTACAAGCAGACATCTCAAATTTAAAATCTCCTGTGGGCAACCAGGGAGTCTGACAGCTGTTGTGTCTTCCTCAGGCTTATTCCAGAGGGGAATATGGTTTTTTTCTTCCTATCCTGAAGTGGAGCTGGAAACTCTGACAGTAAATGTAACCATCCAGGACTTTGTGGCCGACGTGGTGTCTGAGCTGGGTTTCCGCAATACGCAGCAAGTCTCTAAGGAGACCATGTTCATCTTTCCTGTGGACTCTAACACTGTTGTACACACCTTCTATGCCACCATGGGGGACGCTCGTATTGAAGCAATGCTCTGGGAGAAGGAGGAGGTACTGGGATTGTGGTGGGAGGAGGTGGTGTGCAGATTGGGATGAAGGGTGGAGGTGAGAGAAGGAAATCCTGTGGAAACCTCAGTGACACATTTTTCTCCCTTTGTGGCAGGCCCAGCAGCTGTGCAAAGCCACTTCAGGCATGGAGAATTTAAAATACCTGCAGGATCAGTGGGATCTTTGGGGTCCTGTGTTCGCTTGTTTCTTGGGGACCCTGCCTCCTAACAGGGAGGTGACCATCAACCTGTGCTATGTCCAGGAGCTGCCACTGCAGCCTGATGGAGCTGCCCAGTTTTGCTGGCCACAGGAGCTGTTCCCCCGGAGAGACTACATCAGTGAGTGATCCCCCAGGTGTATCCCCCAGGGAAGAACACGCCACTCCCCCGTATCCCTCTGGGAGGGGACCTCTGTGAGACAATCTGAATATTCCCCCTTTCACCTCACAGTCAGGAATCCCACAAGTCTCCCCGTATATCCCACAGCAAGAGATCCCCACAGATCCCTGTACAAACCACAGTGTGAGTCTACAGAGTCCCCACCACCACCACTGCTCCACTAAGCACCACAGTGAGGGACGTCTCACATGCTGCATTTTCCCTCTGCCAATGGGAGACGGTGGCCCACTATAGCTATCTGCTGCCCTAGGGTCTCTTCTTTCACTTTCTCACACTTCTTTCTCCCTGCAGACTGGATCTTGTCTGGGGAGGAGGAGTTCGAAAACCTGCGCTTCAGCATCTGTTTGAAGTCAGCCCATGGTGTGTCCCATATAGCCATGAACAGCAGATACAGCCCTCTGCAATACACGGCTCCAGATCAGACATCTGCTGAGGTACAGCCCTGCCAGACGCCAGAGTCCCAAAAGGGGAGAGGAGGGAAGGGTCTGCAGCCTTCTAATGTTTCTTAGGACTCCTCAATCCTTTTAGTTGGTTCTCTTTCTTCCTCACGTCCTACTTGTCCTCAGGTCTCCTTGAAATCATTGCCCTGGCTGCAGGATAACCTGAACTTGCTGGTGTATTACAGAGGGCTTCACACTCTCAGTGCTGTGGTGGAGAGGAGAGATGCCAAAGCCCCACCTGGTGAGTGAGGAGGCTGGAAGTGGGCATCAGGGAGAGGGTCTCAGGGAGACTGTAGGGATCTGAGGGGCTTTTCAGGTAATAGGTCAGAGCTGAGGACAAAATCAAAGAGGCAGGGAAGGGGGCTCCAATCTAAAAATCCTCCTTGTTTCCCCCAACATGCTCCAGGCTCTCTGCTAGGAGACTCTGTGGTGATGGTGACACTGAAACCCAACATTCCTGAGGTAGTGCCCAATCCAGGCCAACCTGGGGAATTCCTCTTTCTTATGGACCGCAGCCTCTTCCAGGATGCACAGGTACCACCAGAGGAGGTCTTCACAGGGGATTTTCCACATCAGTCATGCCCAGCTCGTGGGGATAGAGGCAAGCTGCTGGGCAGACGTTCTGCCTAGCTTCCCCATCTGAGCTGTGCCCATCCCTCCATCTGTCCCCAGAACACACTGCTTTTCCTCCTCAAGAGTTTGCCTCTCGGCTGTTACTTCAACATTTACAGTTTTGGGGCCACTTTCAAAGCCTTCTATCTGTGAGTTGGGGGTGATGATGGGGCAGGGCCAAGCGGTAAGTAGAATATGACTTTTCTAAGTGGAGCTATGGGACAAGCTCTTGCTGGAGGGCAGTTACGGGGTAGGATGTGTTGGGGGGCAGTGAGAGGGTCAGTCCTCTTTTCAGAGTGCTTCTGTAGCACTGGTAGTGAGGTGGGGCTTTTCTAGGGAGTAGCCTTGTGAGGGCAGCGGTGGGCCAGGTTGTCCCCCACCTCTGACACTCTGGGTGCCCTCTCACAGGCAGAGTGTGGAATACACGCAGGAAAGCATGGACAATGCAGTGGGGCGCATCTCCTCCATCTGCCCTGATCTGGGGGGCTGTGACCTGTTGGGCCTCCTAAGGTCTATCTACAGCACTCCTCTCCTTCATGGGTACCCCCGCCAGGTATCAGGGGTCAAAGGGTTATGGGGAGGGGAATGGGTGTAAACAATGGGGGAAAGGTAGACTTCAGGGCTCAGGGTGATATATTCTGCTGCCATTTGCACAGGGAGTTGGCATGTGGGGAGCATCCTCACGGCAGAAAGGGACACTATCTTTGGGGTGGGAAGCTTGAGAGGGCTTCTGTGGAATTTGCCTGCACTTGTGGAAGGTGGATCTTCCTTGTGGGTTGCCTCTTTGTGCTAAGAGGTGCCCAGGTGTTAATGAAAGGAGACACACAATCTCTTTTCCTGTTTCAAGGCCACTGGGCGTGAGAGGGTAAGGGAACAAACTGGGAAGGCTGCCTGCATTTTAGGAGGGTGTCTTTTCTCTGTGGGGGTGCCCAGAGAATCTTTGTTTCCCCTCCTCTCTCCCTCAGCTTTTCATCTTCATCCAAAGGGAGATCTCCAGTGAAGAGGAAGCTATCATGGCTGAGGTCTACCGTTACCGGGACCACCACCGGTAATGGGGGAGCCCTGTTCCTGTCCCCCAACATGCTAACTCACAACCATCCTCTCCCCCAACTGTCAGAGTCCTTCAAACATTCTTCCAGATTCTGGTCTGCCCCAGATCTTCTCTTTACCTTGATGGAAGTTCAGCAACAACACCCCCCCACCCCGCCTTTCCTTACCACACTAAGACTGCCTATACTCTTCATCTAGCAGACCTCCTCTCCCTGTCTTGCCCTGCTCTTCTCAGTACTTTTCCTCTTCACCTTCACCGTGCAATACCTCAATGCACTCTGTGGGCCCCAAACCCATTCTCACAACCTCCCTGCCCATCAGGCAACATCTCTCACCCCAGACTGAATGGGAAAACTCTGAGTCACAGTTTCACTTCTACAACTAGAAGCATCCTTACCTCCCCAGACTTTGCCCTTTGTATCACTCTTGTCCTTTGTGCCTCTCCCCTTTGTCCCATCTCTAACCTCCCTCTCTTTTCCTGTACAGGTGTTTTTGTTTTCCTACTATGAGATGTGACAGCTTCAACCTTTTCCAGGCCATGGCCCTGGAGACAAAAGGTGAATGTGTGTGCGTCCACTCTAGGATGGACATGACATCCGAGGTAATGACCCAGATGCTTGGGCTTCTGGCACCCCCCTGCTCTATTCAATACTTCCCGTGGCTCTCCTAAACATGCAAGGTGATCCAAATACCACAAAGCCACTCCAACTCAGAGACCTCCTCCAACTTCCCCCCTGCCCAGAACTGGGAGGGAACCCAAGTGGTCTGTGCTCTGCTTCCCTCTCACCAGGCGGTGAAATGTCTGCAGCGTGCTCTGCAGCCTATGGCTAGTGGGATCTCACTCCATTGGGACCTTCCACCTGGCCTGGAGGTGTCAACAATCAGAAAAGCTCCAGAGATGATTTTCCAGGGACACCAGAGCTCCATCTATGCCCAGATCCATGGGCAAGCACAGGTGAGAGTGATTCAGGAACCATATGCACCAGGGCAGCGCTTTCTGGAAGGTAAGGGACCCACTTCCTATTTCACCTTCCCAGTATCGGGAGTCCTTCATCTCTGTTAGACCTGGGAGTTCTCCACTATAAGGGCTGTGTGAACCCCCTTCTTTCCGCCAGGGACACCGCTGCCTCGGCTCCAACCATGGACGTCTACTACCTTAGTAGAGTAGGGAGGGAATCTAGGCAGCCAGGCCGCCTGTGCCCAGCAGCTGAACTTTTATGTCTAATTCTTTCCCTTGTGTCACCAGGATGAAGAGATAGATGAGGGAGCCGTGACTCTTCAGTACCATGTGGGCAACCAGCCCTTCAATTACACACTCAGGTTCTCACTGTCTCCATCACCAGACAACAGGTGAGAGGGTAACACACTTGGCCACAAGGCAGAGTGGCATTGGCAGGGTCTGGAGGAGGGAGAGCAAGTGTCCTTCGCTTGCATCCTTCCCACTGTAGCCTGAGGTGGGAAGAGAATCTGGGCATGCAGTGCTTCCCTCTTGTCCCCTCTGCCCTGACCTTGCGAGAGGACCTGGCTAACCATTGCCCCACTGCCCCCTCCTCTTTATTCCAGGGGCGTGTCCCACGCCCCTCCTCGAGGTGGAACCAAGGACTAACTCCCTGCCCCTGCAGGCTGCCTCTGCACCGCATGGCCATGATGCACCTGCTGTGGAAACTGGCCTGGGAGGGGACAAGCAGGGCAGAGAAGGACATCTGGCACAGCGCAGTTAAGTCCAGCCTCAGCCTGGGGGTTCCATCTCCCTTCACATCCATTGTGGCAACACGCATGAACCAGAGGGATGCCTGGCACTGCGGTAAGGCCAGAAATGGTGGGGATAGGACTGGGAGGGGAAAGAGGGACTTGTTGGTCTGTCGCCTCCTCACCATCCACAGTCCCCCACCCTGTGGGCCTGACTACCCTTTTACCTGTCTCTAATACCCATGAGTTTAACCCCCATCTCCCTGCCTCTCTCCGCAGATTCTTTACTTCCAGACCCCTCTATGTTGTTCTCTCCCTCTTGCAATCTGATTCCCTGCCAGCTGCTCTGGTTGCGTGGCTTCAGGCCTGTGTGGTTCAAGTCCACCAAATTTTGGGTGGTCCAGAAGTGTCAGTTCGGCCTTGAGATGCTCAGTCACAAAGCCCCTGACACTGAGGCACTCACGCAGCTTTCAGCATCCTGTAAAGGTAAGGAGAGACTTCTTAGCTGAGCATTCTCAAAATGTGTTGGACTAGGGTTGAACTCTCCTTTCAGCATTTATCTTCTCACCAGACTTCCTGATTTGTCATTGTGCAGGGGGTGGATGGGGTGACAGACAAAGCAAACTCCTACATCTCACCTCCGGGCTGGTGACTAAGAGTCCAATGCCTTAATCAAATACCTTATCCTTGTCTCCAGCTATCCTTAACTCCATACTCATACACTAAGTTTGTCACAAAATATCTGCATGAATCTTTAGCTCTACCCTCAATACAGTTCAGCAAAAAAAAGCCAGCTAGCAGAGATGTAGCCATTTGCACGGCGGTTTCCAGGCTTCCTCTCCTCCCAGCCTTCTGCTTGTCCAGGGCTCACCTTCTGATCTCCAGGGATCACCTGCTGGGAACTTCTTGTGATTTCTGTTGATGTGGACTTGTGCTTCAGTCATCTCTAATGATCAGCTTCTGTTGCTGTTTCCTAATTAGGGAGTGTCTACGCTTACTGTCTTCAACAGACTTCTAACGGTGACTTCTAAATTTTTCAGCTGGTGTTTGCGAAGCAGCTGTGCATCAGGTAGGCAAGAACATAGAGCTAGCTAACAGAGTCTAATGTCTCAGCATTGAGTGCAGCAGGGGTGCAGAGACATCCAGTAACTGTTCAGGTCTGTGTGGGGCTAAGTGAAAGTTGTGCAGCATGGCACACAACACCCGCTTCAGCACGAGCTGGTGCATTTGCCCTTGGTACATTGGAAGCCTCAGTCCAGACAGAAGGTAAAAGGAAGATAGTGCTGTCTAGGTCTTGAGCTGAAGAGAGAGGCTGGTGCTTCACCCTGGGTCCAGGGCTGAAGTGCCCTTCTCTGTAGGAGGTATGTTCCGGTCAAGGCTCAGTCTTGCTAACTGAAGGAGCTAAAAGGAAGAAGGGAGCACACTGCACACCGTCAGGGTGAATGATGAGGTGATTGTCCTGGTCTTTGTGGAAAGTCTGCAGAGAAGAAAGCCTGAGTTACGGGAAGCAAGGAGGATGGGACCTCTGGAGGCCATAGTCAAAATGGGGAAAGGTGGAGGCTTGTGGCTTCTGACAATAAGGGGAAGGCTCCTGCTCGACCTGCAGGCCTGCAACTTCAGACTAGGTATTGTGCCTGGGCACTGGTGAGGACAAACAAGGCTTGTCAGAGGAGGCATCCAGAGCCAGCAGAGCATTAACCTAGTGTCCAAGCAGAGGGGAAAGGCATGTGATGGTTACTGAACACTCTCTCCTGCAGGGGTGGAGGCACCCAGCTGCCAACTCAACCTCACGCTTCTGGAGGAGGTGTGTTGCTCATCAGAAGCCAGGACCGAAGAAGCTGCCGAGACTGTCAAGGCTTGTCTGATCCTTGGACTATTACCCATTGCTGTGCTTCCACGTGGACAGCAATGACAGTACCAGGGATAACCTGGAGCATATCATGTGTGATATGGAGCCCTGGGGGAGAGGCTGAAGGGTTTGGAGCCCACATGGTGTTCCCCAGTTCTTCCAGTGAAAGGGAAAGGATTGGTAGAAATGGACTCATCCTGCAGGTCAACAGCTGACTGCACGGCTGGTCTCACAGGCAGGACTTTTACTGCTAAGACTGCAGGACTCTCTTTGGGGAGCAAGGGTTACTGAAAAGGAACAGGATTCACTGGGCCATGTGGGACAAAAGTGCCTTTGCAAACAGCATTGCAAATCTAGCAAGGAGCGCTGTAAAGTAAATGTGTAGCCTTGAGGAAGGGCTGCAGTAATCTGAAGAGAAGTGAGGGCACAAGGGGTTGAGTAGGTATGTTTAGGGGACAGGATGACAGGAAAGGCTCTCACACTTCCCCTGAAAAAGCTGCATGACTTGGGGCCCATCTCAAATGCCTGTAC